TTCAAGTTACTCGTTACTTTCAAAGTAACTAGTTACTAGGGAAAGTAACTTTGGTTTTACTCAGAATTCTCTTGTTAATGTGTTGCTTCCATAACTTTGCCAGTCTTCTAGCTTGCTTACTTGCCACAAGTGCACTGTGCCACCTACCAATAGAAAGGAAAAGATAATGTGCATATTTCCACGAGAGAAATCCCACGCCTGGACCGTCATTGACTGCTGCCATGATTCTAGCCTACGTCACAGCGTCATGTGCGCCTTTTACATCCAACACAAAAACTGCAGTCGTGGTGCTTTCGATTGTACTCAGAACTCAGAAATTCTGCCTTCTGAATAGGAAGATGTAGGTAACACCAGACTGCAGATGAGCTGCATACAGGGCTGGACTGGGACAGAAAATTGGCCCGGGCATTTTGACTAGAGACCGGCCCACCATTATAGGAAAAATCATAAAGCCTTTGAATGAAAATAAACACTGTTGTGACAGTGATGTACACTGTTTTGATGGTATATATGCATCAATCTATCAATCGTTTGTTGTAAGATTCAGATAATTATTTTTTAAAAGCGAGACATTTTAAATGAGAATAAGAAAGAAAAGTATTTCTTTGTGCCCCCCTCTCCCTGTTAATGCCCTACATGCCACCCCTGGCAACACTTTGCTAGATCCGCCCCTGCACAGTTACCAGCTGTCAGCTACTCTAAAAAAGGATCCTGGTGTTATTTGTCTCTCAGAAACAGTTCATAACTTCCCTTCAACTCATTCATGTCACCTAAAAGGTAAACCTGTTTCTCCATCACAGCTCTGATGATTCAGTAAGGACATCTCCTGGTTTCATCTTCATGTTTCCCTCTCACCAGATAACCAAACCATATCATGACCAGCAGCTTTTACAGCTGTGGCTCCAGCAAACATCAGCTGATACTAGAAATTAATATTAAATAAATTCTAACAACAGCTGATCAAGCTTAAACGTGCTGCTGTTGTTTAGCGCGACATCCGCTGGTTTCCTCTTTCGGCGCAAAGTGGGCGATAAACAAACAAGAGAGCCGATCAGCTGATCATTGATCAGTTTCATGATTGAAGTAGAAACGGGAGAGGGAGGGGGAGAATGAGAGAGAAGAGGCAGCTGTGCAGCAAAGACACAGAATAACTCCAGCTTTGTGTCTTTTTCATTGTAGCTGAATTACGGGACAAACTGTTCCTTTTCACCTCAATAAGAAACGCGTAATATTTTCTCTGAATACCAGACGGGACGGTTGGCAACTCTAATAACTTATGAACAAAATAAAGTTCAACATCAGTAACATCATAGCACCACCCAGCTGTATAGAAACTCCGTCATGCTAGCTAGCACGCAGTACGAAAAAGTCAGAATAACGAAAATAAACTCCACCTAAACTTGGTTCATATCTGACCCAGAGAGACTGCAGGTCATAACTTCTTACCTGAAGTTCAGTTCACACTTGGACCGGCGGCCGCCTCGGGTCTCTTTTCCTTCTGCGTCCCTTTTCCTTCATCCACCTGCTGGCCTCCACCACTTGCTAATGTTACTGAATCTGTGGAAGCTCCGCGATAGCCACCACACGAAGTAACGAGTAACGACGCCTATCTAAATCCCAGTAACGAGTAACGCGTTCCTGATTTTGGCATAATAACTAGTTACCGTGCTCGTTACCACAATAATAACGTAGTTACTGTAACGCGTTACTTAATAACGCGTTAGTCCCAACACTGAAGTATTGGCTATATTGAGAGGTCTTATTTTGTTCTTACTTAATTTTGCAAATGTATTTGAATAAGGCCCTCCAATTAAGACAGATTTTATGTTGTTGATTTTAAAGATCTGAATGGATATTTTATTTTATTTTATTGTTTATTTCTATTTTTAAGTTTTATTTTTCAAGACTTTGTGAATTCTCTTTTTTATAACTGGGCCCACCCTTTTTAGTTTTGTTAATATTGGCAATAGTGTGAAGTGTTATTGTTGGTTTCAAATATATTCAATATAGGCTATCCAATTAAGTTAAATGTCATGTTTTTAGTTGTTAGAATTTGATGAGGAATATTTAATTTTATTTTTTGCTTTTCTGTTTTCCCCCTGAGGGATTGCCACCTTAACGTGGTCAGGGGTTTTGCGCGTGTTAGTGACCATAAAAGCTTGACAAGCAGAAGCTCAGCCTTCAGTTGGGACACCCAAGTTGGTCAGGTCTTTGGGTAGAGGCCTGACACAGTGCAATCCAATTACCTGATAAAAACAGTTATCCAGAGTAGGGCTGCCATGATTAGTTGACTATAAAAATCATCAACGACTAATTGTCTGCGCATCGTTTGAAGCTTTGTAAGATCCTGAAAGACGCAGGAATAAGTAGTAGGATTTAAGAGTGCAATAATGAACTAAAACAGAAGATGCAATGCAGTTGCCGTTTTAGTTAGCACATTCCTTGAACACTTCAAGCTGTAAGCTAAACGGTAAATGGCCTGTATTTGTATAGTGCCTTATTAGTCCCTATGGACCCCAAAGTGCTTTACACTACATTCAGTCATCCACCCATTCACACACGGTGATGGCAAGTCTACAGTGTAGCCACAGCTGCCCTGGGGCGCACTGACAGAGGCGAGGCTGCCGGACACTGGCGCCACCGGGTCCTCTGACCACCACCAGTAGGCAACGGGTGAAGTGTCTTGCCCAAGGACACAACGACCGAGACTGTTGGAGCTGGGGCTCAAACCGGCAACCTTCCGATTATCAGACAAACTGCCAACTATTGAGCCACAGTCGTCCTAAGCTAATGATAGTTATATAAGAGCAGATGCATGCTGGTGCAATAAGCTGCACGTTTTATGTCCAATGAATGCATGATGTAATTAGTCGACGAATTGCAAAAATAATTGGTGACTAGTCGACTGTCAAAATAATCATTTGTGGCAGCCCTGATCCAGAGCACCCCCACACCTTTCTCACCTCCATTGCCACTATGTGCCCCCTCATATATGCCTGTCTAGAAACGGCCCTGAGTGCAGTGTGGACTTTTGAAAAATTGTGGTCATAATGTGAAGAACAAACAGTGCAAGATCTTTTGTGTATTACCCCCACTGGAGAATATTGGTTTGCATTAGTTGATTTGAAACCATACAGCATAAAGTCAAAGTCATCATTAAACTCCAGGACAGCAAAGCTATTACTTGTGCTACACATTTTTAAATGATCACAAAATAATTTTATAAACAAAATGTTTATTTACATTTCTTTCATTTTAACAGCCAGTACGAACAAACTATGCAACTTGACTTGACAAAAATCAAATCAATGTAAATTCGCAGTATGTACAATGAGGTTTAGGGCTGTAAAAGAACGTGTTAATATTGTGTTTGATATTATTTGGGAAAGTTAGCTTTTCAAACATATCTGAGAAAAATTAGACATTTACACCAAAGTAAAGACATCTTTTTTTTTTTTTTTTTTTAAATACAGCACAATGTTGAACAGAATGAAAATATGTTTAAAAATAAAAAAAAGATTCACTTTTAGTCCTCCCTGAATGAGGTGGTTAATTACTGTGCAAGTAATACAATTAGACATCATTGCCATTTAGACATCAGTAATGACGTGACATACTGACAGAAATTGAAAGATGGGTAATGGAAATTAAATCGTATTTTCAGTCTCAATTTAATTAAGACATGTTTTAACCTTAGTGCATATTTCAAAATCCAACATCCAAATTCCAACACTTGTCACAAGATGTGCTTTCCAGAGTTATTGTGGAAAGATTATCAAATACTTCTTTTTTAATGATAGGCAAGTGCTTCAATTTTTGTAACTGTATATATGAAAACAACATCAATAAATTACCAATTAAAAAAAACTAACAAAACATCTGTTTTTAATGTGTTCAGTTGACAATATTTAAAAACGAATGCAAGTGTATTATGGCGAACTCATTACAAAATGAGAAAAGAAAAAGATGACAGCTTTAAAATGCCACTAGGACACTAAAGTCCATGTCCAAAACAAAAGCATTATGTATGCCAAAAGGCTTACTTGAGTTGAAGCCAAATTTACCTTAACAATTTTCCCTAAACTAACTCAGGTACAACATTTGGGAAGAAATACCATGCCAAACTGGGGTTATGCTCTCACACATCTTGTGACATCACCTACTGAATCAAAAAGTATGAGAAAAGGATACCTGCATATTCTGACAAACCAACTTAAATTTAAAGATGTATATTTCTGAAAAACCTCAATCTCCATCTATATTACACTTTACTTTGCAGAGAGCACACAGTGCCATACAGAACATTGTA